TGCTTAGTTGGTCAACGCAGTTAATCAGTCAATTAAATATTTAATTAAAAAAGTGGTCAGTTAGTAAGTAAGTTAGTTCTTTAGTAAGTCAGTTCGTTGGTTAGTTGGTAGGGTAATCCATCGGTTCTTGCTGTCTCATCGGATATTCGTTGGTGAAGTGTTGGCGCAGTGATGTTTGCTCGTCATTTTTCCACGAACAGCACTGTTCGATGCCTTTTTTTCTTTTCCTCACTTTCTTGTTTTTCCTTTTTCCGTCTGCATTCACCACTGCATCATTGCCGTATTGCGTTGCTAAAACCCGTTGAAAATTAATCACACTATCTGATGGTGCACTGTTCGGCACTGCTGCGTAAACTTACTTGGCTGGGAGGCCTCTCGCGATCATGAAGGCGGGACCTCCATGGTGAGGCTTGGCCATCGCACTTTCGGTTAGGCTGACCCGTGTGGCAATTCCAAGGTGGAATTAGCCAACAGCATAATTTTTGCGTTTGGGGGTACTTGCGAGCGCCCCTGCAGTGTAGTTTGTGCAGTACTGTCGGCAAGTCGTTGGTTGCGGGGCTGCTGTCCCTGTTTTTGTCGATGTCATTATCATCGGCAGTGCAGTCTTCGTCTTCACTCTGATCAGCAAGTGCAGTAACGGATGTTGAACATGTTTCACAAGCTTATTGCTTGCGCATATTTGCAGGCCTCCAGTCGTCGTCGTCTTCGTCCTTTTTTTTTCTCCTGAAATTGCGAGTTTAAAGCAGCTATCATTTGGCAAATTTGTTTCTTGATTGCAATTTAAGAACAATTAGTGGACAGTAGTGAAAGCACTGAAATGTATCTGATTTTACTTCCTTTCTTCATTTTCCGGTTCCTTTTTTCTTCCTTATATCATTTTTTTAAATTTAGTTTGCTATGAATTTATTCGCGTTTCTTTTCTACTCTTTACTTTCCTGATGATAATCGTTTGATATGATTTCTTAGGAATTAAAAAAAGGAAAAGAATATTCCTTCATTTGCTGTAACCGTTTTGGTATGACAGCATTTCTCAGCATGGATATCAGAAAACTTTAATTGAATAAAGGCGAACAAGTTGCAAAGTTTCTTTCTTTTATTCTGTCATTTTTTTATATATTTTCATTCCTTTTTTTATTTTTGACGTCTGTTTTTCAAGAAAAAAATTCCTCTTTCTTTCGTCCAGATTAAATATTGTACATTTTGAATGCTTTATTCGTTTCATTTTCCCCGCCATTTTGTTTTTTTTTTGGTTTAAATGCTGAATTAAATGTATGCAATAGCGGACTATTTTTAGAAGTTTACCGTTTGTTCGTTTGAGCGCAGATTTTACAGAACCAGTTGCCCTTAAAAAGAAGAAAATAACTTAAAAAATCAGTGTAAGGAAGCAACGTTTATCGAAGTATGACATTCTGATATTACCCTACCGACTTTATAAAAGAGTCACTGGCTAAACAGCTGTTACTGAACCATCCAGTAATATTCAGAAATTCATTGATTTGCTCAGCTCGTTGATGCTGTAGATTCTGTGAAAAAAAATCCGATTCACATTACAGTTTTTGAATTCCTATTGCAAAAAAGTCTCCTAATGCAGGCAGCCTTTGTTACACCGTTGTCAACTGCTGCAAAAGAGAAAGAAACATTACTTTTGATTCTGTCTTCCGTTCCACCCGATTGTCAACAGCTGTAGAATATCTTTCGCCTGCATATACCACCTGGAACTTAACAAATCCACAGACATTGTGGAGGACGTATCACAGTGATCGTCCAATTAAAACGGCTGACTGGCAAGTGGCTTGTTGCTTGTATGATGCCATACAGTTGAGATCAACCTGGTAAAGTTAACACTGCCGTAAAAACAAAGGTTCAGCCCGCTTAATTGGATGTACTAGTCACATCTGGTTTACTGAATGATTGGTGGGACGGCTACTCCTTGTTCGCCTGTTTAGCAACCGATCCAACTACGGTTGATTACTGTGCATTTTTAAAGGTTACTGAGTAAAATACCTTCGAGACCGTCGACACATTTTTGTCTCGCCTATATGTCAATCAACTAGTCAGAAACTGAATGTTAATGAGAACAAAAACTGCAGGAAAAAATTAAAAACATCACATGCCTACACTTTTTTGAAAGGCATTTGATTCCTGACGTTTAGATACTGGCTTTGAATTTTAATCGCAATTATTACACTTTTCACCGAGAGAACCTTTAAGAAACCATGGAAATAGAAATGACCATAACAGTTACCAGTAAATGCGGAGAGAAACGTGTAAACGCTGCACGTGGAAAAGAAAAGAGTTGGCACTTCAAAATGGATTGGCATCACACTCAAAATTATAATGCACGTAACCATCAAGCAACAAATTTAGATTAACCTACTAAGCTCGACCATAAAACTCTGTAACATCATTTAACGCTTTTTTCACAAAAAAGAATTTTTCTATAACAGATACAACTATATTAAGTTTTGAAAACTGACAAGGCTATTGTTCAGTTCTTGGCAGCATTTCAACAGCAATGGGTTGAAAGCAATGAATTTGTTAACGTCCTGAATTCACCTAACTACACAATTTTTATGTACAGTAACAACGTCAAGAAAACTTAGAATCAACCTGCAAAGAGTTTGAAAGACGTGAAGAGAAAAAGGCTACTGAGAAGTACATTTTTGAGCAATGCTGATATCACAGTCAATATTTCATGCCCGCTAGAGAAAACATTTGCTTCAGTCTCCACTCCTCAAGCGGGGGAGAATAACGAAGCTCAAAAGCATCACAGGAATGATTTGATGCTAAAACCTTCCGTTCACTTCCCGCTACATTTCTCAGCCGATCGTCGATCAATATAACGTGACCTTCTGTAGTAAACAAAATTCGTTCCTCATTTATATTCACAGGATTTTCTGTATCAAAAAGCTAAAAAAGCCGGCAGTTATAACAGTCAGAAAACGATACTCCTGTCTCATCAACAGTACTTAGAATACAGAAGCAAGCTGTGTAAATGCAACGGCTTAAAACAAAAAGTTAGTCTGCAAATAATTTTTTTCTTTTCAAGACAACTTTCAAGTTAGCAAATGAAAAAATAAAATCATCGATGAAGGTTGGTGCGATAAAAAAAGCCAACAACTCCTTTTAAAAGTCCAATACAAGTACATACAAATGAAATAATTATAAACGGCTGTACTGACTAGATAAAGGTATTTTGTTGTCTCTGAGAGAAAAAATGATTCCATACGATCCTCCAGTGACTTATCCAAAACGCTATGTACAGTGGCGTAACCACATCGCACACGGGTAAAGGTATTCAAAGACTGAAGCATTTCCCGACCAACATGGAGGTAGAAAGGATTCCTAGTGGCTCTATATAACATATAAGTTGACTCAGCTAACTCTGGTCTGAGAGGATAAAATGCTACTTCCGGTACTCTACAAAAAGCGATTGTTGCCAAAAGCCCTGTACCTCTATGTGTTAAACGATATGAAATATTTCGAAAAGAATTTCCAATTTATGATTAAATTTCAAGCAGAAAGCAAAAGAGACTTTAGGTGCCAGTTATATCGTTCTGGTAAAGCATCGAACCGTTTCCATATAGAGTAATACAGTGCGTGGAAGCAAACTGCTTCGTCAACATCGCCATTCAATACTTGAAGAGCAGCGAAACTAGCCTAGAATAATTATGCTAAATTTTTAGATGCAAACTGCCATAAAAATTTTACTAGCTCACCCTCTATTGCCCAATTTCTCCTTGATAAAAGAATCAATCACTTTTTCACAATAAACATTCCACGTGCAAACAAAAATTAAAGTTATTTTTCCAGAACTTCACACAAAAAGCACTAGCAGAGCACAATATCTGTAACAATACCTGCAATGCATCAATCCAAGTGTTCACAATAGAACCGTCCCGCATATCAACGTTCACATAAATCGGAGGTTCACCTGTTCCAACGACGCAGCTATCTCGCCCCCTACGCATCTGCATCATAATCTGAGTGTAAATCTCCTAAAAAAAATGGTAAAAAAATAAGACTTTTAAAACACAATCTTTTTTTAAAATAGGCATTTGTTTTTGAAAAACATGTTAGGAAACCCAGCATCTAGTAACTTATTCCGCCATAGTCATCTTTTTTTTCACTTTTAAAAAATGTTTATCAACCATAAAAGTTATATCTAACAAAGACACCTGAAACATTTTAATATCTGATTGGACTCCAAAGAGGAAGAAAGATTTTAAAAGATATTCATAGAATGAGTCAAGTCCAGCACCTAACCCACTAGCAATACCACGCCATTCACCGGTCTGTATATTGATAACATTTCCTGAAAAAAAAAACCAATGATACTTCGCAATAGTTTTCACTGTCAGAACACTACATGTCGAATAAACCTAAAAATGAAACTTTTAAAAGCACTTCAGTCATTTATTTAAAAAGTGCAATAACTCATAAGCACAAAATATTGAAAAGCAATAACTCTGATTTAAAGCTACCTAATAATCCTGAGTCCTTATTTCTTAAAGACCAGAGCTTTTGATTCACTCTTCGTGCCAAGTCTTCATAAGTATTGTCACCTAAGAGCCTTGAAAGGATACCGAATTCTAACAACAAAGACCCAGCTCCTGCTGTACACGTTTCGTTTACAGTTTCCTTCTTCACTCCACTTAGAAGATTAACACGCGGAAATGGCAAACCTAGAAGCAAAGTAAAATGAACTAATGAAGAAAAGTAATTTATCATATCACTATCCCTAACAAGCAGGAAGTGAGGAGGAAAATAATCTAACTGCGTGTATAAAATAAAACTAAAACGCACATACTACGAAGCTTACTGGCGCTAAATACCTGTTTGAGTGCCTTCAAATGCCGGTAGCAGCCTTGAAGCAAGATCATGTGCCAATGTAAGAAGTTCATTCTCATAACCTTGTAACGAGTAGTCTCCTAAAAGATGCTTTTGATCTGTCAAGATTAGGTGCGCTGATAGTAGGGACCCGATCACTCTAAAAAGTTAAGTGTTAACACAAAGTAAGTTTAAGGCGATAAAAACAACTATAACAGCGACGAATTATTACCTTATAGTCGGTTCAAAAACTTGTACTGTAACATTCCGCTCGAAAGATACGTTTTCGATCACCAAACGGACCGCATTATGAAACTCACTTTTATTGTTAAGTACAACCAAAGTGTCAAGGGATTCTATCTGCAAGTAAAGAGTGCGAGTTTCTTTTGAATTTCTCAGAACTAAAGCACACACTGTTTCTAACATGAAACCTACCAACGAAAGCGAATAATCTCCAAGGACGTCATTTATATTGAGATTAGACCTGCAAACGATTGTTTTAGTAGCAAATAGAGGAAAATTTTAATGAAACGACTGCTAATATCTTTAGTTCGGTTTTCTATCGCCAAGAATAGTGACTAAATACTAACAAATGATAAATGCAATTTAACAACAAAACTTACGGATTTAAATGATCGTGACCTCTCCCAGTGCAGTTAATGGGGTCCAGTTCATCCATAGGAAATGCATACCGCAGATAATTATTATATGCAAAGTAAAACATTTCCCTACTAATCTCCCGCGCTTCAGCCAATTCAGAAGTGGAAAACTGACCATATCGTTCAGAGTATGGATCTTTGATGAATGGATAAATGGCCGATGAACTGCTCAATATGAGCCCAAAAGCATAAAAGTAAACCTGTAAAAGGAAAATGTTAATCTATTAAACGGTTTGAAAAATTAATCAGTTATTACTCTTTTCTGAATTTAAGAAAAAGAATTTTTTTCTCAAACCAACATTTGTAATCATTAAGTTCCTGCTACAACTGTTTCCTTTGTTGATACCAACGATAGCGCATGATTATATTTGACAAGAAAGTGATAAGAGAACGAAAACAAAAACTATACTGTTCAGATACCGGCAGTCCGTATACCAGAAATCTGCAAAATTTATTTCACAGAAAAAAAATGCCAAAGAAGTTGTATGTCGCAATAAAAATCCCGATGCCAAGGAAACATAGGAAACATTAACCAATTCCATTAAACAATTAGACGAAAAACCGTATTATATGTAAGTCAAAAAAAAAAAAAGAAAAAACATCAGCAGAAACAGTTTTTTATCTGTACTCTACAAATACTTAACACAACTAAGGTATATGTCGGCATGTTTGTTTATCGAACACAAATATTTGCGGAAAAAAAATCAAGAAAAAATACAAGAAAAAAATGACAACAATTTTTACCATTTTTTGACTCTTTTCTTCTGCCTTTTTTTTTTCTTTTATAAATTATTGGAACAATACAGCAACTGTATAGGTAGACATGCAAACAAATACACTTTCAAATATGAGAACGACGGATTATGTATACATAAAAAGGTTACAGAACGCGTATCATCATCATTATCATCACCATCATCATCATCATCATC